ATATTAGAGAAGTATTTACCTCTTCTGTATTGTTAAATTATTGTAAGATTTGTCAGTATGTTTTCCCAGGAGACAGTTAAAGTGTTCTTCATTTGTTTAGGTGGCAGCTCAGAAGGTTCCTTGAAGAATCGCTCAGCGTTTTGCAGTGACAAGCTGGATGAGTACCTGGAAAATGAAGGGAAGTTGATGGAAACGAGTATGGGATTCTCTTCCAGCACTCCCACTTCTCCTGTGGTGTATCAGCTCCCCACTAAGAGCACTAGCTATGTGCGGACACTCGACAGTGTTTTAAAGAAGCAGTCCACCATAATTCCATCAACATCTTACACGTTCAAGCCTGTTCCTCTGTCATCTACCTCTAGGAAGACAAAGACTCAAAACAGACAGACATCTACAAACAGTAGAGTAAAATCATCTTACAAACCTATACTGCCTGCACCTTTTTCTGCAAAGCCGAAACAGAACTCTTCAGTGTCAGGGGACAAGGCTGCCAAGTCTGTCTCAAACAGCAGTTTGACTAGCCAAGCAGATAGTACCGTGGAGCCAGGTCTGGATGAAACCATACTTCCAAAACAGATTAGTTTGCGCCAAGCGCCACGACAGCAACAAGCAGCTCGTCCACCAGGTTTATCTAAATCTCAAGTGAAGTTAATGGACTTGGAAGACTGTGCTCTCTGGGATGGCAAACCACGGACCTATATTACAGAAGAACGAGCAGACATCTCTCTGGCAACCCTGCTTACAGCTCAGGTAGATCTGTAATCATTTCTTTTCCTTCTGTACTGTTACTTTTCCAAATCTGTGCACTTACTGTTATTACAATATAGATGCAGAAAATAAGACCAAAGTTGCTAAGGAGCATGACAGAGCATGATGTTCCTTTGTGGTGTTGTCTTTGCAGTGGAAGTTGAGAAGTGCTGACTTAGCAGTACGTTAAAAAACTAATTGTGAGAATAGCGTCTTGATAGGAATTGTGAATAATTTTAGTTATCTCACATTTTCACCTTTAAAAATTCTGATTAATGTAATTGTTATTCAGTATCTGCATTTCCATGCTATTTGTCACTTTTTTTTTTTTTTTTTTTTTTTCAGTTGAACTGACTGCAAAAAAATCCTGGTCATGTAGCTTGGTTGTAACATGATAACCTCTTCACATTCTACTTATTACTAAGAAGGTTTAGCTATGTCAGATTGCCTCTCAGTAAGACTTCAAATGCAAACTCTTCTCAGTTCTATTTTCTTCAGTATAGATGAGAAATTTTCATATGTAAACCATGTAGTTGGAGGGGTTATTCTAAATGAACTTCGAATAGCAGTTTTGCATATATTTAGTTTAATCTTACTAAAATTTCCTCTTACTAACATTTGAAGTATATCCTTCTTTAAAATTTTTTGTAGGCTTCTCTCAAAAACAAACCTATCCACAAAATCATAAGGCGACGAGCACCTCCTTGCAATAATGATTTCTGTCGGCTGGGTTGCATATGTGCCAGTCTGGCACAGGAGAAACGTCAGCCTACCCACTGCCGCAGGCCAGACTGTATGTTTGGTTGTACTTGCTTGAAGAGAAAAGTGTTGCTGGTGAAGGGAGGAACAAAACATAAGAAAATTATGAAAAAGGCTATACGTGGAAATCTCGTGCTCTATGGAACACAGGAAGATCAGCAAGAGGATGAAGAGATGGAAGAAGAGGGTGATGGGGAGGAAGGTGAGCTGAAGCAGAAAGATAAGAAGAAGAGAAAAAGGGTGGAATACAGTGAGTATTGCTGGGCAAAAGTAATTACTTGCAGCTTTTTAGAAACCACCTACCTTGGTAGGCATTTTTTATTAGGACACAGTAGTGATGTCATTTCTAAATCGAGAAATTGGGAGTGAATTCCAAGAGATGTCTGCAACATCTGCTTTCATATAGCTGACTAGCAGGAAATAACACCTTTTCCCCTTTTTTTAACTCTTACCTCATCAGCATTTTGGGCACTACTTCATTGTTTATTGTGATCAAGTAGCTGGAGTTTCTTTTTGGTAATTTAAACTCTTGCTCAACTCTCCAAATATCTTTAAAGACTAAGGATATGAGATAATTACTGCTATCACTATTGATAATCTTTGCTGTCAGACTGCTGTTTCCTTTCCCTCTTGCCAAGTGAGTATCTAGAGCTGTGATTTCAGTTGCTGTGTATAGCTGCATAGTTCATGGACTTCAGTGGAAATACAGTGATTTGCAGCAGTTTCAGATCTGGCTTAAGGTATGCTCAGAAAACCAAATTGGTGGAAATTGACCATGAATTTGCACTTTCACGTTCTTGCTACTGGTACTTTTAGCAATAGTTAAAAACAAACATAGCATTATCTGATGTTCCACTGGAATAAATGAAATCTTCCATGGAGCTGTGGTATAAAGTCTTTTTTTCTGGGGGTGTTTGTAATTTTTAAGTATACTGCAACAATGAAGATCATTAATTCTTTGGTGTTTTTCTGTGTGTGCTATCACAGCACAACTGAGAAAGAATAATTAGTGTAGAACAATTTTTATTTTCACTTGCTCTTTCTTGTGGACAAATCCCAGTCACTTTTGGCTAGAATTTGAGACGAGAGAAACAACCAGCAGTATTTTCTGGCAGTATGAACTAGTGAATGTTGCATGGCTAGACCTCAGGCTCAAACAAAAATTTCTGTTACTGCTGTGTTAGATGATGTTTAATTTATAATTAAGTTGGGGTTTTTTTTCCTCCTCTTTTTTTCAGCTATCTGTGACTCGGAGCCAGAACAGCCTATTAGGAGTTGTCCGTTGTGGGTGAAAGTAGAAGGTGAAATAGATCCAGAGCCAATTTACATCCCAACACCATCTGTTATTGAACCAGTTAAATCTGCAGTACTGCCCAGCCCTGAAGTCTTGCTTTCTAGTAAGCATAGATCTTCCAGTGGAATGAAACCAACCAGAGTGTATACTCCTAAACCCAATCCAGTGGTAAGAAAGGAAGAGAGATGCATTTGTTTTTCTTTATATTGAAAATTAAAACAAACACTGCCTAAAGCTTCTGTGCTAGGCCATTTTAGATGAAAGCCTTAGGCTGACAGACCATAGGTGTTGATAAGTTAGGATGAATTGACTGTGTATAAATCTTTAGCTATGTCCATCTTCTGTTGAGAATTTACTGTAGCAACATGCAGATGGTGAAAGGTGATCGTGATTCACTAATAGCCTCATTTAAAAATGCAATAATATATGCTATTTCTGGCAAAATGATTGCTGGTCCTGTAATGTTTGTATAAGTTATTAGCTGCATAATATAGCCTATCTCATTAATTAATTACTTGCAAAAAATTGGGATACAGATACAATGTTCAGTGTAGTTCTGGAGTCTCTTTTTCGTTCTTGTTTGAGGTTTCACTGACAATGTTGGAAGAATCTGCATTTGCCTCTGCCATCACCTTACTAACAAAAGCAACAACAGCTATAGAGGAAGAACAGCAATAGAGTTGACTCTAGTTATGTCTGAAGAATAAACATAGCAGAGTTACTATTTAATGTATACTAGATAATGTTAAATAATGCATGATGCTTAGGACTCGTTTCCCCACTTAGAAGGGTATCTGAATGGGTTTGGGTTTTTGGGGGTGGTGGGGTTCTGTTCCGTCCCCCACAGTGTGTAATTTGGAAGCAAGACGTAGGCTGGGCTGTGTGATGCTAAGAGGACAGATTCAGCTTTAAATGCTGCCCCTTTCTCCGACATTGACTACTGAAGCATTAATGTTGAAGTGCGGTTAGAAAGCTAAACTGTTTCATTAATCTAAGGTGCATCTAGAACGGAGAGGTTTTCTTCTTTTTTTTCTGTTTTTTTTTTCATAGATTCGAGAGGAGGACAAGGATCCTGTCTACTTGTATTTTGAAAGTATGATGACTTGTGCAAGGGTCCGAGCATATGAACGCAAGAGAGAGGAGAAAAAGCAACAAAAAGATGAAAGTGATTCACAGAGTTCTAGTGTAAAGGTAAGAAGTCACACTGTAACTAGCATGTATCATAGAACGGGCAGAAGTATTGAAAATGTTGAGGTAATTTTTCCCCCAGAAACCTCTGCGTGACTTGAGGGCATTTGATGGTGATAGGTCTGTGGAACCTGGAGCCTAAATCACCTGGCAGTGCTGGTAGACTTATAAGTTACTGTGACAGAAATTGTCTTGTCTGTGGAAATTCCTGGCTGACAAGTGCATTACCATGTAAGACTTAAATGTTCATTGTTAAAAGAGCTGTTCTAAGATTAAAATTGTAACATTTTAAAGTTAGCATATGTGTTACGATTCGAGGTGACAGTATGATGAACTAGTTTATTCTGTGATGTGATTAAAATTTTAGTGTAGAAAAGAGATACACAGGATGAATATTTTTCTTGCATTTCTTTCCTCCCACAGGAACATGAACCAGAGCTTCAGTCTCCTGAGAAAGCAACCAGTGAGACAGACAAAGACACTGATAAATCACGAGGTAAGAGCCGAGTCTTGAGTATAATTCAATCTCTTGGTAGTTCCACATTTTTGTGGGTTTTTTATTTGGCTTTATTTTTTAAAAAAGGTGCAGCTATTGATGAAACAAAAGTCCATTTGCTGGGGGAGTTACTATGGTTATCAATAAAAGTCTTAAGATGTGCTTACAGTTTCCTGTTTTCTTAAGCAGTTGTGTGTGTGTCACTTGGGAGATTCAGCAGGCTAAATATCCAGTACTTGCTGTTGCTCTATAGTTAAAATGTCTGATATTACAGTAGCTTGTTTAGCAATAAAAGATAATACTGCACACCAGACTTGTCTTCAAGAGTGGTAATTAGATACTTGGGAAGGAGTGGAGATCACTGTTCATGGTTTGTCTGGGTTTGGTTTTTTTCCTCTTTTTTTTCCTTACTATTACTTTGTAGTTATTGAAGAACTAATAAATATCCAAGTGGTGCTGTGAGGATGGGATCCTCATTTTAGAACCATATGGGACAGGGAAGTGCCTATACTTTATTTGGAATTGTTTGATGTTGAATTCTTTTAGTTCAAGTAGGAAGATTAAATTGAAGTTTCACTACATTATGTATACTGGATTTGAGTTTCTAGTTCATAAAGAAGTAGGCTAGACACTTGTGTTCTCCTTCAGACTGAAGTGTCCCAAATCATGTTATGAACTTCAAAATGAGACGTATACTAGAGGCATTGTGTCATCCACTAATGAAATCTAGCTGCCTTTTTGAGCTGAAGTTTTTCACTGTTTAATGTATACAACAGCGCACTCTACATTTAAGGATGGGAATGGAAAAATAATACAACTAGTTGAAAATGCTGGTGAACTGGTAGGTGAAATTAAAATGACCAGGACACAGGGCTCAACATCCTTACAGTTTTGCAAAAAATGACATTGGATCTCTTTAATGACAACAAAAGATCATGCTTCCGTTTTACATCTTCTGCAAAAGACAGTTCTGCTAGCGGCATGTTTGCCCCTCACGCCGTTAGGCACTGGTCCTTTTCTGACTCCAAGAGAAAAGTGCCATCTCTTGAATAACCAGCGATGCTTTCTACTGCATGTTGGTGTTGCTTGGAGATCTTTCATCCATGTACTGAAACAACCCAGCTTTGTTTAGCTTGTGATGCAGTGGGATACAGCCTGAGATAGGTTCCTTCCCTGGCTGCAGGAAGTGAACTGTGAGAAATAGTTACGTTAGTTTTGCAGTGAGTTTTTGCTTGCTGGTGAAGCTCTGCCAGGGGAAGTGATGCCTTGAACAGTTCTTTTACTTGTTTTGCCCTGCAGCTGAGAAAAGGGTGGAGGTGTGGGCAGAATAAAACTGTTTGACTATCCGGGTGATTAAATGCCATAGTATTGCAGAAACCTATTTCAATTCTTTCTCAGAGAAAAGCTGGTGGTCTTCCCCCAGTGAGGGGGACTCTTCCTCCACCTCCTATGTTCATCACACCACTCCAGGTGGACCAACCAAACTTATCGAGATTATCTCTGACTGCGACTGGGAGGAAGATCACAGTAAGATCTTGACCATCTTATCACAGCGTATCAACAGTAACGTGCCACGGTGCCTCAAAGTGGGTAGCTTCATTTTTGAATTGGCTTCGGAACACAGGGCCCAGGATGAGAACGACCCTCCTGTCTACTCCTCCAGAGTGAAAATTTCAGTGCCGTCCTACCAAGACGAGGACAAGAAGCCCGAGATACCTGTCTTGGAGACTCCTAATAGCGGAGTACCATCACGCAAAAACCCAGAACATCTAAAGTTCTTGCGGGCAGACACACTGGACAAACTGCAGGAGAAGTTGCATGGGGGCAAAGGCTTGCCTTTTTATGCAGGGGTTTCTCCTGCGGGAAAGCTGGTTGTCTACAAACGCAAAGCTAATATGAGCCCCTCAGGCTTGATTCAGGTGGGTCCCTCTGCCTTTACTGTGGGATTTAGATTCCATTACATCCAGTATCCCAGAACTCCTTGAAGGGAAGAACACTC